TCTCTCTCTCTCTCTCTCTCTCTCTCTCTCTCTCTCTCTCTCTCTCTCTAAACCTGTCTCCTGTCTATGCTTCCGTGGAGCCAGATTTATTATCGACTATTAAAGAGATTCACAGGTTAGAAAAGTGAGTGAGTGAGTTTAGTGTAGAGAGGACTGATCACACACACACACACACACACTGTAATCGCAAGTACGAGTACAAACTGGAAGAGTGGGTGATCCCTTCGAGTACAATGACTTAACGTCTAGAGTACAATAAAAAAATTCTTTATTACTTATTTAACCACTTGAATAGACTTAACATCTTGAGTACACTTAACCACTTGAGTACGTTGTTTTCACACTCTCAACATGATGACTAACTCCCTCGAGTACGAAGACGATGTAATCAGAGTAAGTGACGTTAAGCTACCTCACCTAAGCTAACCTAACCTGGTGAGTAACAGAGTTTCCCTCCTCTATAAAAGACACATATGCCTACATTAACACAAAGACTCGTGTGTGTGTGTGTGTGTGTGTGTGTGTGTGTGTGTGTGTGTGTGTGTGTGCGCGCGCTACAGGTGAGGGTGGTCTGCGCCCCGGAAGATGAGTTTTGAGCTATTAACGTCAACTACGCCTCCAGAGTTGGTTTTTCTTCACGATGAAATTACCTAATGAGCGAACATTAATAATTAAATTGTTCTTGGTCCCTTTGGAGAGCTTTTAAACTATTTTTAGAAGGTATTTTATTGGGGATGGGAACTTAACCTAACCTAACCTAACCTGATGTTGTTGGCCAATGGACTGCACGTACACTTTAGTGAAGAATATGGTCCAGTAATCATAAAACCTCTCGACTTCTCATTGCCCAGAACTTGGTGATAAGTTCGGATTGTCCAGTTTTCTTTCCATCGTATTTCACGGTCAACTACGGATCGAAAAAGTTTCCGGAAAACGGTTTAAAACCCGGTGTCGGAGTCTGGGGGGCCGGAGTAACATTCACGTGAAAAATGGTTCTATAAATTTACCTTTACTTCCGGTTTATATTCGAATGTGAGACTTTATTTGGCATTTTTTTCCCTTGTGATTTTGGCTGGGTTTTTTCCCCCAGGGCTTGTAACCTTTGCTTGATCCCAGGCCAGTAGGGTCTGTTCCCACGCCAGTAGGATCTGTTCCCAGGTCAGTAGGATCTGTTCCCACGCCAGTAGGATCTGTTCCCAGGCCAGTAGGATCTGTTCCCAGGCCAGTAGGATCTGTTCCCAGGCCAGTAGGATCTGTTCCCACGCCAGTAGGATCTGTTCCCAGGCCAGTAGGATCTGTTCCCACGCCAGTAGGATCTGTTCCCACGCCAGTAGGATCTGTTCCCACGCCAGTAGGATCTGTTCCCACGCCAGTAGGATCTGTTCCCACGCCAGTAGGATCTGTTCCCAGGTCAGTAGGATCTGCCGCCTTTCGTGTATAAAAAATTCTTGTCAACCACTGGGAGAATGAAGGTTTAGGCATAAAGTCTTGATATGAGGAGAAACTGCCACTAAGACACATTACATTTGAAGTAAAGAACATCACAAATTGAACGTTCAAACACCACAACATAGTTTACACACTAACCACCACGGTTACAGCCAATACATCCTGTGAACATTCAAAGTCACGTTCCATTTAAGTGTAAAATCCCATAGCACAACACATTACTATCACAGCCGGCTGCTTCTCTCTTATGTAAGAAATTTAATAAAAATTGTACATCCGGTGATTACCTCATCAACACGGTGGACAACTGTTAATAAAGTGACGAAAAATAATGCCTGTAAACAGGTACTGGTTAAAAATACGGAGGGAAGAGTCAGACACAGTCGACCTTCAACAAGCTCACCATATAAGCTGTGACAGTACAACCTCGACCAGGGCCATTGTCAAGGTGACGGACGCCCGCCACTGTCAAGGACCCCCACCCAACATCCTTGAAACGCGCTTCCGTGTCCAAATTTCTGTATCAATACTCCACCACTGTTACTTACTCACACGGTGTATAACAAACAACATTCAATGAACTAGCGGCTCATAACATAAGTTCCAGAAATGACAGGCTGGTGTTAGATAAGAACACGAAAACCCATATAAATAACGGGACTCGGGTTAAGTTATCGTGGCAATGAACCCATTTTCTAAGCTTATTCTCCCGCCATCAGAGAAAATGGTGGCGCCTAGTAACATGTGAATGAGAGAAAACGCGTGTTGCTGGGACGGCTTGTGTGGGTATTGACGTATGGTGCGGATATAGCTCAGGGCCGGTGACCCTGACGAGGCAACACTCTGAAGGTCGCGGACTCAAGCTCAAGTCCAAGGTTCGTGGACACAATGCGGACCACCACACTCGCCACACACAGGGGAGGACACATACGCCACCACAACCTCTACACCTACACCCAAAATAATACACCACCACCACACTTGACAACAGTAATGTAATCTAAACAGGATACAAAGGTACTCACACTTCTATTTTACACAACCACATCTTCATCTCATCTTAACATTCCATACATAAATCAAACTCCTTTTTAATGAAACAGTGATAAAGTATGACTAAATATTCATAAATAAATCTCCCTGGACAAAGTGAACGCTAGGAATCATGTCGAGGGGAGGAGACGGGGGGCCGGTGTGGTGTGCGTCTGCGTTAACCCAGCGTGTACGGCCTAGCATCACATCCATGACCGCCTCAACGAGAGACACACGCGTCCCTCTCTCATACTCTGTTAACCTGTCTATCTGTATGTCACTCCATCTACCGCATCTATCTATCCCCCAATGTCAGCAGAACGGAAACATGAGCTCTAAAGAAATACCTGTGCCTCGAGTCTGAATTGCCTTATTGAAAGATGATCCACATGCTGTCTCACCCATGAAATTGTCTCATTCTCTTCCATTCACTTAATGTGTTTCAATCTCTAAACCTTTTTCTATATCTCTCTTCTCCCGGGTATTCTATCCACCCCATATATCTTTCTCTTGAGTGTCTAATCCCCCCTTTTATTCTCTCTCTCTCTTTTACCCTCTCTCATTCTCCCTTTAGTTCTCTCTCTCTCTCACTATCTCTCTCTCTCTTCTATCCCACCCTTCCTTTCTCTCTCTTTCTTCTAACTGTTCTCTTCCCTACTCCTTCTCTCTTCCCCCTCCATCTCTCTCTCTCTCACATTGAGGTACATAATATCTAGTGTTGCATAGAGCGACTCACTGCCACGACCCCCTCTCAGCCCCACCTGACCCATGACACCTCTACCTGCATGACGCCTCTACCTGCACGACACCTCTACCTGTACGACACCTCTACCTTGGACACGACACCTCTACCTGCGACACCTCTACCTGCACGACACCTCTACCTGACACCTCTACCTGCACGACACCTCTACCTGACACCTCTACCTGCACGACACCTCTACCTGTACGACACCTCTACCTGCCCGGACACCTCTACCTGCGACACCTCTACCTGCACGACACCTCTACCTGCACGACACCTCTACCTGCACGACACCTCTACCTGCATGACGCCTCTACCTGCACGACACCTCTACCTGTACGACACCTCTACCTGCACGACACTCTACCTGCACGACACCTCTACCTGTACGACACCTCTACCTGCACGACACCTCTACCTGCACGACACCTCTACCTGTACGACACCTCTACCTTGGACACGACCCAGGATGAGGAGGAAGGGGTAGATATTCAACATTTACAAATAAAGTCGCCCTTCAACTCCTCCTCTCGATACATCCCCGGTAGAGGGCGCTCAGTGTACACTATATTAATATAATCGTTTCTTGGCTCACCACTCAAACACATTCTCTGGGATCGTTATCTAAGATGTACTCAATGGACGATTATACCCTGTACTGTAAATATACCTTAGTTCACCCTCCCGCCTCCCTATTCTTCACAACCAAATAGAAAATGGAAATAAATATACGTTGGTTTAAAAGACATAAAAGTACATTGTTGCCATATTCTACCACTCAGTCATATTTAACCAGTGTTACCACCACAAATTATAAGCTTTTACATCTTCAGTACCATTCAAGTGTGACAATTATTACCTATACAATCTTATCCAACCAGTGTTACCACCACAAATTATACGCCACAGTGTCTTTTGTAAACACATGTCAATTAGAGTTCATATACTGTACACCTGAGCACATCCTTATACTCAAGACTGTATTATTAAAATGACTTACACTTCCCAGGATAAAAGACCACGTAACTTCCCTGAACAAGTCATTAAACAATAAATACAAATTATATACAAAGGAACAGTGAAAATCGGGACTCATTGTAAATTGTGCACTTGGTGAATAACTAAAGACTACGAAGCTCTTGCTGGCTGCGGCTCGCTGGAGCAGTGATGATAAAGGAGGAGGAGGAGGAGGGTGAGTATATTACCGGATTCCCTGTGACTTGTGTGGCTCTTACTCCGGCTGCCACTCCTCACTGGCCTACGACAGGGAGAGAATTATTGAGTTGGCTGACCACCTCGCTACGTTGTCTCGTGCTTCTTAGGGGGGGAGGAGGGGGGCTGTTATAGTGGCCAGTTCCTTCTTTTTCAATAATGTTTACAGGTGTTGTCAGTCATTGATGTGTGATACAATGACTCCCAGTCCTTATTCTTGGTAGTCACTGACCCCTGGCGGTTATTTACACACACATAAGAAATAATTATGAATAACTAAGTCTTAAAAAGTTAATAATTTCCACTGACTTGACACACAGCTCCACGTCATTGAGTGTTTGAGAGGAGTAAGTGATCTCTTGGCAGGTACAGCAGGTGTCACAGGTGAGATGGAATGGCAGTGTACTTCTTCAAGGTACACCACAGGATGAAACACACACACACACACACACACACACACACACACACACACACACACACACACACACACACACACACACACACACACACACACACACACACACACACACACACACACACACACACACACACTCTCTCTTACCTGCTCGTGTTCTCTAAATTGTTCCTCTCGTCTTCTCTGCATCTCTTGCTCCTTCAGCTGAAATATAAAAACACACATTACCACAGAGGAAACTTCACTCACCAAACATGTATGGAGAACTCGATGAAAATAAATACAAAATAAAAGAGAAAACAAGAGACTTATTTAAACATTTCTAAGATGTTCATTTACACACTTCCTCATCCATTAGAGACATAATATTTACAGTTCGTGCAAAGTAAATGTACATAATTAAAGTAAATGTATATACTTAAGTGTACTTCTTGTAGTTTATGAAAGTTATATTGAGAGGATCAGCGTGAGTGTAGAGGCCAGTCTCCACACAGCACACTGGACCACAGTAATAAGGCACATTGTGGCAGAGATGAGAGGAGTCAGAGGGATGGGCATGCTCACTACGTCAGGAATGGGACTTACCCTCTCGATGGCCTCCTGAAGTCCTGAGTCCCGGATGGGTCCCGAGGAACCCGGAGTGCCGGGGGCTGAGGCGGACACGAAGGCGGCGTTAGAGTGGCTGCTGGAGTGGGAGTGCGTGGAGTGGGAACCGCGGGAGGAGGCGGGGGAGGAGTAGCCGGGCAGCATGACCAGCGGCGTGGTGCTCAATCCAGGCTCGCCGTAGTTCTGCTGGGACCACCAGGGCATGCAGGGTTATAACACATGCAGGTGAGGTGAGGTGACTGGGCAGGGAGGGAGGGAGGGCAGGGGCAACACTCAATGGTCAAATACACAGTCTTCAACATTCTGCACAGTGAGGTCAATGCTGGTGACCCTGTGTCAACACCCAACCACCATCACCAAACACGACACACCCACAGCCCTTCAGATGTCAACAACCATGAGACATAAAAAAATACAATAAACTACAAGACAACGAGATGTACCATGACACACGAGACATCTACAGTACCATTAACCACTAGACATCAATGATCGAACAACATCAACAGCCGTGAAGACAGCCACTGTACCAAGAGACACAACACATGACAGTAAGAACTAGTAAACCGTAAGACATGAAGGAATAACTTGAAGCACGAGATGTCATAAACCTCATGTCAACAATGGACAGATATCATGACACAACACATCCACACCACGACATAGCAAGAGTTAATATACTAGAAGACAGTGAAGAATGCCAAGAGAAGGAAAACAATAACTAAAACACACAAATATACTTTATATAAACCCCGTAATGTCGGCAGTAATACACCCAAGGGAACTACCACACTCACTAAAGAAGATCCACATAATACACTGACCAAGGCTACCGGGAATATCAGGGCTAAATACAACATGTGAGGTCATACAGCACAATGATACAAAGTGACAGTGTTCAGAGGTCCTGCAGAATCTAAAACCAGACTAAAATAGAAAGAAATTGGTCATGACTTATTGATGGCTGCAACTACTTCACAACCCTCCACTACACAGCCACGATCAACCAGCTGTAACGAGTCTTGGGTTAGGTCTTGGTGAAGCATCAACTAGACAAGGAGTGTTGGGGGTAAATCTTAGCACTAGGTGTAATGACTTGGCTCTCAGGTCAGGTGTGGACTGTAAGCACTCTAATATATAATCACAAAAGTAACTTTAGACTATTTCAGAAAGATATTGTTTGATATATTATTTGGATATGGAAGAATGAAAGATGCAGTAAGAGGCCACACAAGATCTGAGAACATACGGGTTTATGGTGACCATCAAACTAAGGGTAGTTATGACTAGTGAAATTCTATCACCAACATTCAATAATGACTATGAGTAAATCTAGCGAATAATTATACTATTACATTATATTGATCGAATTTTGATATATATGTATATATATAGGAAAATATTGTTCAAGGCTACACTAATTAATTTGATTAATTAAATCTTTTACTAACAAGTAGAGTAAATTTGGCGAGAGATTCTGTTAACCCATTAAGGAGTGATTATCACCATCTGACTTTATGTTAACACCAGGTGGATGAGAGCTCTGATTGACCTACAAGTGAAGCCGCACAACACTAAGTCACTCATATATTGCCCCACTACCAGGCAGCGGGTAGTGACCTATGACCTCTGGGGACATTGAGTGTCAGTGATGGCAGTACTAAGTGGGTGGTGTGACTGGTGGGCACAACCAACACCTGGTGACGGACGCGCCTTGTTGGCTCATCCCACAAAATTAAAAAATCTTTATTATTGTATCTGTGACTTAACTTATTACATGGAGTGAGCCACAAGACGTCTCCATCACGCCAGGAACATTTGCCTAGACACTTCTCAAGCAGTTCACACTTAGATACTATCATCTAGCCAAAGTGGGAGACTCTGTGCATCAGTTTACAAGTTCTCTATTTCTCTAACGTACAGTACAGTAGTCCTCGACCAACACCCATATCCTATTTGAGAGAAAATATATATACAATAGCCAAAATATTGTTTTCAGGATACTGTGTACTTATTACTAAGGGCTATACATTAAGTAAGCTATCCATATATACATAAATATACTGTAGGAGCTGTACATTACACACTACAGCAAAAACTATGCACGCAGAGACTAACCTATTTCTCCCATAGCTGCATCAAACCACTCAGGGTTACTGATGCACTCAAGCTACTTACCCTTGGCACATTATTCAAGTTGTGAGTCAATCTATTTTTATTGTTTTTTGATGTCCCGGATGACCGTTTCAGATCCCTCTTCAGCGTTTTTAGGAACTTTCCAATACCAAGTTTCTTCTTCCCGTTACCGCCGCGACTCACATCTGTAAGAGAAAACGGAGTCATGAAGTAAACCATAGAAAACGTACACACTCCGGGAGGGAACTTAATGCATAGACTAAACAAAACACACACGCTACTGATAATTATCCATGCTCTATGTTTTAGCATTTTTTAATTATAATTTATGAATAAGGTTTCTTACACAAATAAAATCAATTTAGTAACACCATTATAATACTGTTTTCTTTCCGAGCAGCAGTTCGATTAATGATCTCTGAAATTATCAAAAGTTCCTCCCGAATTCAGCATCACTGTTCCTGCATACTTGAGCTTTGTGGACGTGGGTGCCTTGCCTGTGTCCATATTTTCATCCACTTGCTGGGCTGTTGTGTGGTCAAGCCCTCATGCACATTTCTTTTTGTTATATTTCTTGTATAATCTTGACCTGTATTCTGCGGTACAAGAAGGCGGTGACTTTAACTACCCCTGATGGTGTTCATGGCTCAAGTTCTCCCCGGGCACCAATATTACTGTAATGTTGCCAACACCTTTAATCACACTAATGTCTTTCATCATATCGGGACGCCACAGAATGTTCTTAATATACAAGCAGAAATCTCAAGTAAAAAAAAACTACCTAAATAATATCATAGAACACGAAAATGGCTCTGGTATAACTTCTTTTATATCTAAGCTGAGAAAAAAATATTGACAAAATTTTTTACAGTTAATGCCGACGACGACTTCCAACACACCAAAATCTCTGCTGTACTTAGTGTAGGTCATCTACAAATTAGCTTTAAATACATTTTTAATGTGAAATATTAACAGAAATATGAAAGTAAATTAAGCAACAACAAAAATAGGCCACATTATCTTAATTACTCTACGAATTACAAAGTCCAGTGAGGATAAATATTCTTATAAATGTAAACAGCAACGACAGACACCAAGCCTGCACAGTAGTCAGATGTGTACTGGCTACTATGAACATTTATAACAACACAGTGGATTAGCTTAACATTTGTGGTGACATTAGTAAGTTAAGAAAAGTGGGAATGAGTTAGATCACCCCCGCGCCACACTGTCAACAAGCAGCCTCGTCAGCAGGCAGGAGGCCCCCGTAAAGTGCTTCATAAAAACTTACTCTGATGAAGTTTGTGACAAAAAGTGCCTCAGAACTCAAGTTTTGCACACATTTCATTAATTAGTAGCAGCAGAAGTTCTCACCACAAAATTCTTAACAAAATATTTTTAATATGAAGCTTTCAGGACTGGTGGGCACTCTTCCCTCCACGAAAATTAAAGACTTATTAATTTCAGAATTCTTCCTTTTGGACCGTGTGATTCATATACACATAAATAATATTAGTTTCCTCAAGTTTATTTATGATGACTTGGTTTACGGCAAGTGGCTGGTATGTTTGGTACAATGCATTGTTTACACAGTACAGTACTACACTACACATGTAATACACCCTAGCGAGAGGCACCAATACACAGAAGAGACAGGTCAAGGAAGAAACTGAAACAAGAGAAAAGTTACTTGAAATTCACTAGATCATGGAGCGGTTTTTTTCTATGGGACGACGCAAAATAATGTTCCAGGTACTCATCAACAGTACCTAAAGTAAAGTAAAGTAAAGTAAAGTAAAGTAAAGTAAAGTAACGTAACCCAGCCAAGTGAGGAAGTAAGCTACCCAACAACGCACACCCCTTGACGCTGCCGAGCTGTGCCAACTATTCAAGAGGGTGTTGCTTTGCACCTTGTGTGAGAAAATATTAATTTGTGGATGTCTGGAACGTCAGTATGCCGTCCCCTTGAAGAGCTGCGGGTTATTATGATGGAGGAGAGACATGAGCAGGGAGGGAGTGACACTGTGGGGAGGTATGAGTGATGAAAGATGAGCAGGGGAGGAAGCCCGCACCTGTGTCGTTGTGTTGGTGTATCTGACGACGAGCTGTGACCGGCCTTGTAGGGCGTCTGCATACAGGAGGGCGCCATGGTAGAACAAGAAAGAGAAGGATACCGAAGGACGGACATGGAGGGGAGGAATGCTGGATGAGTGAGCTGGACCACGGATAAAGCAGATGTCTTGACACTGGATGTTGTCAGAGAAGGTTAAGGACTGAAGGTAGTCCTCGAACTTGTGAGCAGCAGACCATGGATGAGATAACACTCAAGAAGGGAGAACACGACACACGAGAAATGGCTCCAAAGAATACGACACAGAATGAAAAAATCTGATCCGTGTATTGGCAGGTTCACCGGCGTGTTGTTCCCGCGCGGACTATGAGTAGTGGAAGGCTGACGCAGGGAGGTGTGGCTTAAGGTGAGGATGAGCAGAACATTGTGTTGTTTACAAGATATATGACGCGAGATTTTGTTTAATAATAAAGTGATACACGATAAACTCTTCTTCTATGACGTGAACTAGTTTAACGACACTAAAATAAACAAATTAAACAAGTTCACTATATATGAACGAACCCTCCCCTGCCACCCTCAACATCATTTTTTTAATATTCTTTTTTATTTCGACTTTGTTGAATATTTTGTTCTATTGTGTTTTGCATTAAAATGCAGTTTTTAGAGTCTATGTAAGCTTTAACAACCATTGTAACAAAAACTATTCCTGAAAAATAAAATAGCCTTTGAGCCTCGGGTAAAAATACCTCTTGAAAACCTCTATTTCTTTCGTGTCGGGGTCGAGGTTCATCTGTGAGAGTCGGGGGTTACCTGGTCTCTTCATAACCCACCACCACTAAGAGTAATTACAGGTAGAATATGAAGCCAATCGCTGCAATATTTCCGTAACGACAGCGCCGCCAAAACCTGACCACACACACACACACACACACACGAGTATGACAAAGGTGACATAAACTAGCGCCAAACAATAACAATAGCGATCCTGTCATAAATTATTACACAGAGAATTAAATTATACAAGTCTGGAATATTGCAACAGCAGCCTACACATAAAAATGTTATAATGGGTAATTTATTTCACTTTATTAACTCGATAACTGAAAAAAAAAACATTTAACAATACACAGTTGACAATATACTGTATTTATATTTTACAACATCTGTTAACTTATAATGACATAACACCTTTTAACCTTAAACCTGTACCTGGCACTCCTACCTGGTGAAGTACCTGTACCTGGCACTCTTACCTGGTGAAGTACCTGTACCTGGCACTCCTACCTGGTGAAGTACCTGTACCTGGCACTCTTACCTGGTGAAGTACCTGTACCTGGCACTCCTACCTGGTGAAGTACCACCTGGTGAAGTACCCTACCCTGGGCACTCCTACCTGGTGAAGTACCTGTACCTGGCACTCCTACCTGGTGAAGTACCTGTACCTGGCACTCCTACCTTGTGAAGCCTGTACCTGGCACTCCTACCTGGTGAAGTACCTGTACCTGGCACTCCTACCTGGTGAAGTACCTGTACCTGTCAATGGGAGGCCTGGTGGTAGAGCATGTGGTGGTGGTAAGAGGCGTGGCGGGCGTGTGGTGGTGGTGGTAAGGCGTGGCGGGCGTGTGGTGGTGGTAAGAGGCGTGGCGGGCGTGTGGTGGTGGTAAGAGGCGTGGGGAATGTTGACGCCATCTTGGGTCTCACTCCGCAAAGTTTCGAAAGATAAATCCAAAGTGAAAAATATTAAGCTTTACACAATCACCCCCCTCCCCCCTGATGACGCCTCTACACTGATGACAGCTTATAAAACGCTAAAACTTTTAACTGTGGTGTTTCACGGTCGATGATTTTTCACAACACTTTACCCGGATCATGCCAGAATACATTACCTATTTTGTTGTTCATATGATATATATTTTTTGACATTTTTAATTGGAATCCTACCTGACCGCTGACCACATTTTACAGGTGAGTTCCCCAAATATATTATCACCACCAAAATTGTCACCACACCTCCCAGGTCATCACCCCAAACCTCATTTGTAATATTATTATTTTTTTTTTACGGGAATTAGCATACACGGGCACAGATCAAACGACTCACAACGGGGCCCTGGGGACGAAAAAAACAAGAACAGAAAGAAACTGAAAATAGAGAAGAAAAAGGTTATACTGTGTTAATCTACACCACGAAGATGCCGGAAAACCAGATTTTTAAAGTGAGACATTGAATAAGTATGGAAACACAAAAGAAGGCAGAGCGTTCCACAGTTTGGCTGTGTGAGGAAAGAAGGAGGCACTATAACGGGTTATTCTCGTGTGACCGACATCCACAGAGAAACGGTGGGCACCGCGGGCAAGGCATGTGTTACGAGCCCACGGCCTTGCCGGCGGTACACAGGATGCCAAATCCACCGAACATTGCCCGTTAAAGTACCTGTAAAAGAGAGAGAGTGAAGCAACATTGCGGCGAAGAGAAACGGAAGAGAGATTGTCGACTAAAGGAATGCCTTTGATTCCACCCTATCTAACAGTTGGACAGAAGAAGAGTCACCCCGGATATGAGCAAATGCTCAGGAGTGAAGTAGCTACGGCATCTGTACAGCATTCCCAACTTTCGAGAGGCAGCTTTAGCTATATTAAGGATGTGTGATTTCCAGGACATATTGGAAGAAATGGTGAGGCCTAGCATATTAATTTCAGAATTTGGCAGGATGATAGCGTCCTGAAGTGTAATTGGTGGGATATCATCTAATTTAGAAAGTGTAATTGGTAAATACTGAGTTTTGTTACTATTGAATTTTACCAAGTTTGTACCCCCCCATTGAGAGATGCTGCACAGATCAGCATTGAGAGAAGTAATGATATCAGCTCTAGAAACAGATCTAGTTTGAGAGTTAGGAGGAAGGGTAAAATGTGAAGAAGAATGAAGAGTAGAATCATCAGCGTAAGAATGGATATAATTAGTTGTAATGTGAAGTAAATCATTGATAAAAAGAAGGAAGACAGTAAGTGAAAGAACAGAACCCTATGGGACACCACTATTGGTAGAGAAAGAGCGAGAGGTCGATTCCCTCGACAACACCGTTTGTGTCAATGAGGTTCCGGGTTTGTTTTTATTTATCTTCCAATTACTTTTTTTGTTCGTTTTTTGAGGTGGTGATGTTCAAGGTGAAATGTTGTCAGGTTATTTAACGTATAAAAGTTTTTGAGATACGGAACAAAATGCACTTGAGTGTGTGTGTGTGTGTGTGTGTGTCAGCTACAACACACAACTGGAGGAGAGAGAAGGACTAGTCTGAGGTCTTGGTTACTATGCACTCATCAACATCACTACTACTACCATCTACAATAATAAAGACGACAAAAAATATCAACACATTTTTAACTGGTGAAGACGTGTAAAAATATCCAGTTTAAGTTTCCAAAAGTTTATTTTTTACAGTACTATAACAAGAAACTGTGCTTAAAATACACCAGTCACGTACTGTAGTAAGGACGGATGGACAGACAAGAGTAAGACGATAAGAACTTTTTCATAGCCAAGGCCGGGGGATAAAGACGGAACTCGAGCTATAGACGGCACCAGCGGACAGGTACTCGACGTCTGAATGAGGATCTTCCTTCCTTGGGGTGAAGGAGAGGCAGTGGGGATGTGTAGACGCCACCAGGACACCCCTGCTGGTTCATTTAAGATCGACCATTCATCAAGCAGTGGACCTGGAACACACACACACACACACACACACACACACACACACACACACACACACACACACACACACACACGTACGTCTAAGAAAATCTGTTTCCTCTGTTGCTCGAAGCTCTTCACCTTAACATACATGAGTGGTGGATGACGTACTCTACCTGGCCCGGGTGTAGCACAAGAGCTGAAGTGTGTATATGTCACCAGGTACAGTACATATTCTCACCGAGTCATTGAGTGACGCTCAGGTGAGTGCAGGCAGGTGAAACAAGCCTGGTACCAGATTCTTCAAGATTCTTAAGTTATTTTTCCTCTAAATGACAAGGACAGAAGCATGAAACTGTCCCAATTACACTATGAAGAAATAAATGTCATCTCAGAGATTCAAAACTAGACGTCTTCTCTCATTTTAAGTCACAAGTAAATAAAAAAATAAACGTATGAATCTGGGAGACTCCAGGTGTGGCGGAGCACTAATGAACGGTGGTCCAGCTCTCGGGAAGGTCAAGTGTGGACACCTCCCGGCCACACACCTCACAACACCACCAACACACACCTGGTGCTTCTTCATTCCTCACACACACACACACACACACACACACACACACACACACACACACACACACACACACACACACACACACACACAGCGGCCTCCTTGGCCAAGTCGGCCCATTCTGAAGTCCCTCTCCCCGACCCACCCTCAGGACTGGGATATCAACATAATCAAAAGTGACAATCTTGTTTCGGAAAGAAGTGGGATCAGTGTTGAACAGTGATGAACAGTGTTTAAGCCAGTGAATTCAGCACTAGACAGTACCTGTGAGAGCCGTAACCCACCACTGATACAAGCACCCCTGGGAACCATCCTCTGACCAGATGGTGTTAATCCATCCACCCTGGGAACAACAGTGGGTCGGCTTTACACCTGACTACGAGATAACGCAACACTACCCAGCAGAGTGAGGTACTGTGACACAACCCCACACCACATGGTGTCCCCCCATGACTACGTGATGTCCTTCATATCAACACCCGAGGTCGAATTACTGCACCACGTGAACACCACACCACCCGGTGTTCCCATGACCACGTGAGGTAGATAATAACGAAAATTACGATGTTATTTACTTAGACTTTAGCAAAGCATTTGACAGTACCGCATCAGAGGCTTCTGAGAAAAATAAGGCTCATGGTATCGAGGGGAAAGTTTTAAATTGGATAAAATCATGGCTTACCGATAGAACGCAGAGGGTCAGCGTAGATGGTGTTAAATCTGAGTGGGGTCGTGTAACCAGTGGGGTTCCCTAGGGTCAGTACTAGGCCCACTCTTGTTCATAATCTACATAAACGATCTAGATACTGGGATCAGCAGTGACATAAGCAAGTTCGCGGATGACACCAAAATAGGGCGGCAGATTAATTCAGGGCAGGATGCAAATGCATTACAGGAGGATCTAAATAAACTGCAGGGGTGGTCTGAAAAATGGCAAATGAAATTCAACACCAACAAGTGCAGCGTACTTAACATTGGAAGAACAAATACTGTCAATGCAATGTATACAGCCTTAACAACATCAACCTAGAGAAGTCGACTTGTGAAAGAGACCTAGGGGTACTTGTAAGCCCGGACCTACGGCCTAGAAAACAGTGCGTTATTGTTCGAAATAAGGCAAACAGAGTATTAGGTTTTATATCTAGAAGTGTAAGTAATAAGAGTGCAGAGGTCTTATTGCAACTATATCTTGCGCTAGTCAGGCCGCACCTCGATTATGCGGTTCAGTTCTGGTGCCCTTATAGAATGGATATCAATTCACTAGAGTCGGTGCAGAGAAGAATGACGAAAATGATTCCGGGACTTAGAAACCTTCCATATCAGGATAGGTTAAAGAAACTAAACTTGCATTCCCTAGAAAGACGAAGAGTGCGGGGAGATATGATAGAAGTATTTAAGTGGTTGAAAGGAATCAATAAAGGTGATATAGATAAAGTTCTTATAATATCCGAGCAGGATAGGACTCGGAACAACGCATTTAAGTTGGATAAGTTTAGGTTTAGGAGGGAGATAGGAAGAAACTGGTTCAAAATAGGGTGGTGGACGAGTGGAACAAGCTTACCAACTTTGTAGTAAGTGCTGGAACGCTGGAAAGTTTCAAAAGGAGGCTGGATAGATTCATGGATGATAAGAGAGTGGTAGTAACTCTCGACAGGAGCTGCCATGCACAGGCCAACCGGCCTATTGCAGACTCCTTATTTTCTTATGACTATCAACACCCGAGGTCGAGTTACTGCACCACGTGAACACCATACCACCCGGTGTCCCTATGGCCACGTGAGGTCCTTCATATCAACACCCGAGGACGAGTTACTACACCACGTGAACACCACTCCACCTGATGTCTCAATGACCATCCCAGGCCCGGGCCATCAACTATAAACTATAATAATTTGTATGTTCAATTCATGTTCCTTCTTCTTTCAGTAATAAAAGCTTATGTTAAAAGACCCACCTGTCTTTGTATGTAATAAATAATTTTTGTCCAATGTATATTTTCAGCCTTCGGGATGCGGAACTTTGTCAATAAACCGTTAGTTATTATTAAACACACACACACACACACACAGAGAGAGAGAGAGAGAGAGAGAGAGAGAGAGAGAGAGCACGCGCGCACACGGTCTTCATTTGCTTCCCGTAACGAGGTCCAACAGTAAATTAGTTTTAGCCACGGGGACAACAAGAAGCAACATGGCTGCACTAAGCACGAGGAAGCAGTAAACTAGTATTACTCTGGTATTAACGAGGTGGCGAGGGAGATGGTCTACACACTTGAGTTACATCCAAGATAACAGTAAACTAGATTTAAACTGGAGAGTAGAAGGAGGAGTAAACTAACACAGCTTTACTCAACACCCACTAACAGTACACTAGAGTTACCTGGTGAGTACAAGTAATAGTAACAGAAGCTTACTCAACACCCACAACACACAACTAGTAGTTACCTGGTGAGTACAAGTAATAGTAACAGAAGCTTACTCAACACCCACAAACATTAAACTCAAGCTACCTGGCGAGTACAGAACAAAGAGAACGGCTTAATATAACAAGGGACTACGACAGGTGTGGCCTCTGAGCAGTGAAGGACCGCAGAAGGACTTCAAGGACTCACCTCCTACAGGGGGCAGCTCGTAGATCAAGGTTGACCGAGGATTGAGACACCTGTAAAAAGAAATAATCACACCTGTTACACCCAGATAAAGGTAAATAAATATGACATAACAGTAAATATATCAATCTTTACTACGATAGTTTCCCCTAAATATTACAGAGATAAGAAAAGATTGCAGAGTTACATATTCATAAACAAACATTATCTACTTACTATGTCACACTAATGATATGAGAGTTATATATCAGTACAGTCACTTACCCCCACCTCCTTTTACCTACCTCCAATCCCACCTCCCTCCTCTCCTCCACCTCACCTCCCTCCACTCAACCACCTCACCTCCCTCCACTCATCCACCTATATTCACCTCCCTCCTCTCCTCCACCTCACCTCCCTCCACTCATCCACCTCACCTCCCTCCACTCATCCACCTCACCTCCCTCCTCTCCTCCACCTCACCCCCCATCACACCACCTCGATGATAAACTAGACAAAACTGCACCAGCTCAAGATGTTTAGAGTCCAAAATTTAGTTTATGGTTAGGTTAGGTTAGATTGTGGTCCGATTTAGTCCAATAGTTCAGGTGACGTGCACATCGTAGCC